ACCTTAAATGTTAAATACTAATATGAAAGTACAAAAAAAATTAGGGATGAAACCTAATTTTTACCCACAAGTCCAGATGATGACTTCTACCAGTATTCTCCAACTTCATGTTGTTTATACTTGACAGAATCGTCTAAAAAGTGTCTACTGCTAATCTGGAATGCCAACAAATCTTATTAATATATCTCCACATTTGTAAACTTCTACTAAATCCTCCAAGAACCTGCATATCAATTAAGTCCTGAAATGCTCCAGTGCCAAATAAAAGCCCACTCTGCAGATAGAAATGCCTTTGGAGACTCATTTATTCAAAAGTATTTAGAGTATCTGTCAGTTGTATATCCAGCACTGAGTGAAGACCCAGTCTCTGCCATCACATACGCCTCGGCACTAAGAAGAGACACATGAAATAATTACCATGCAGTGTGGTAAGTGCTCTGACAGAGGATAGAGAGAGGAATAGCCACCTTGGGGAAGACAGAGAAGCAGGGTCCCCCAGGAGTTGAGGAGAAAACAGCCTCCAGGAGTATGCTATCTGAGAGAGCAAAAGAAGGAAGGCAAAGAGGACAGGTCCATACTTGAACACACTGAAGGACGGATATCTAGTGCCAAGAGTGTGTATGATAACATCTTGTGGAGCAGCAATCATGACCCTCATTTGGTTTGTGGGTCAAATGTCACGAGAATGTAACAAGTAAATGGTCTTTGCCTTATAACACAGGGTATCCCATCCATGTAAGACAACCAATTTTTAGAAAGGCAAAACCAAACCTTTTGTTTACAGAATTTTCTCTGTTTGCCTTAAATAGTTTTTGGTACACAAATTCTTCCTTGCTTGGGGCCATTATGGTATGTGGAAGGAGAAAAAGATAAACTGTGGCTTACAGAAATAGAAAAGCAATTTTTGCCCATGATGCAGACATATGGATATAAATAGCAAACAGGTAACACATAATAAGTTCCAAATGAGGCATTTTGTTGAAATTCAGTGTTGAGCATAAACAGTGAACTCAGATGCACAAAGGAGGCCTCATGGAAGGGTAACAAAACACTCCAGAGCAGATAACAGCCACCTTATTTTCTGTTCCCTGGGAGTGGGGAGAAAGGACATCAAAATCAAATTATAAATTTTTAAAAGTATTAAAATTATCTTATGGAAGTATGATATTAAAAAGTTTGTAAGGCAAATGGAAAACGTTTTGTGGAAATAAGAAATAAGAAAGAATGGTCATCATTTAAAGCAACAGAATGCATCTCTCCCACGAGCTCTCCCCTTCCTACCCACAGCTTTATTCACATGTATCCTCTAACATTTCAGTACAGTCAGACCTGCCACTGAGCCAGTGTGATGTCAGGGTATTGAGGAAGTGAGTCCCTTCCTGGGACACACTAGCCCACATCAGGGAGTCAGACTCCAGCTGGCTGTCATCCTGCTTCTGCTTATTCCACAGAATGAGTCTGGTGGGGGGAGGAATTCCTAACCTTTTTTTTTTTTTTTTTTTTACACATCCTCATCTGAAATGCAAAAACACTAATTACTGTCCATAATAAAACTATTGGGAAGGTTACTTAGCTTCTAAATAAATTTCACGAAGCCATTTCAGTAAAAACTTCCTGGTTCTAAAATTGGGAAAAGTAGGATAATCCTCTAAGGCTGACATTCTTTCTCTTTTGTGCATTCACAACTAAATGGTCACTGATATATAACATTTCCACAGTGATTCTGTAATATCCACATTGGTTTTCTTCTAAGACAGTTCAAAAGTACATCCCACCTTTATGTGTTAAGTATCACCATTGGCATATATCTTTAAAAACATTTATTTTCTAAATTCTCAAAATACAAAAAAGAATATTATGCTATTTAGTGTATAAACTGCTATTTTCAATAAGGAGCTCTTAATTTAGAAATAGTTGATATTTTTCAATAAAGAGCTCCCAATTAGAAATATTAAGAAGTGATGTTAAGTTTTTATGGAAGTAAATGAAATATCATGATATGGCAAATTTATATTTTTTCCCCCAGCAAAGGCTTATGCAGGGAATTTTGCTTATATGTAAAGTTAATGATCTGAAAAGTGGTGATCTTATCATTCACCAACATTTCAGGATATAAGTTATTCCTACAGAACAATCCACTTTTACTCTTAGAAGATGAGTTTGTATGCTTCAGAAGACATAACCCCAGTTGGCCACCATCTCTATCGGTAGTAAGTCACACCATCTATCCCTTGTTAAGGATGGAACTCACGTGAATTCAAGAGGAAACATAATAGTCTTTACCTCATTCCCTGGTAGCAGAGAAGTTGACTGATCTTTAATGTCAGTTATTGAAATGTAACACAGAATCATATTCTACAGAAAATACGTGATAAACTGTATACAAATAAATACACGTTAGAAAGGCAGACATTTGGATTTTCTTTTTGCCAGGGAATATTAATGGTCTTCATGAAGAATTACTGAGAAATTAAACACTTCATATGACATTTTATAGCATGTAGAAAGGTTGAAAATCAGAGAACTAAAACTCAGATGATAGTCTAAATACTTAATTTGTTGCTGGTTTATGCTGGACATGCAAAGTGTGAGCTGAAATTATAAATAAAAAACTATTGAACTACCAAACTATTTGGGGCATATCCTTATCTTTCCTCCGCATTACTCTTTATTCCCATTAAAATCTACCTATCGTGGGTCCTCTCTCCTCGGCCTTTCATTGCTGCTTTCAAAGATCACTAGCTAACTCATCTAATAAACAAGTCTAAGATGATGTGTCAACTTCACCCCTCTTTCCCCAGATAACTTGTCTGCATTTCAAGAACAACCTACCAGAGACCTTACCTGTCACCTTGGCTCTCCCACCCAAAGGAGATGGCTCTAAGGGTAAGGAATTCTGTCTTAAGTAAAAGGGAAGGAAAACACTCTGAAAGATGCAGAGTTTTTATAGAGGCAGGTGGTAGGGGCATCACGTTTACAGTGACTTTCAACTTTTGACTCTAGAAATCATTATTCTAAAGATTATGACAAGTCCAAAATGTCACAGAATCCTGATTTTTATACACTTGCATTAATCACTGCTTACTTCCATGATGTAAACCAAAACTGCAGCTTTAGAACATAGAGAATCAGAATAAATTCTGATAGAAAAGCCAGATACTGCTTCCACATATGCAAGTATATGCTAATTGCTTTTAGCGAATGGATCTAAATAGGAATCAACATTATTCCATCTTAATGATTATGTTTTTTATTGGTACACATAAACGTTAAAGTGGGAAAATATTTAGAGGAAGTTACCTAAACTAAATCACTTTAATTTTCCGCAACATAATTACATTACATTTCACCTAATAAAATGGTTTTGGACCTAGAATTTGTACTGCTACATCAATATAAGATGACTTTCAACAGAAATAGATGTACGTTTGCTTTGTAACAACAAATTATAGTTTTAAATTATTTGTATATTTCAGGGTGAATAAAATGAGAGCTATCCCACAACCGCTTTGGTTATGAAATTCGACCACTGTAACTTTTTTTAAAGAAAACTTTATGGTGTGCAGTTCCTTTGGTATGCAAATATTAAATGGTGGGTGCTGAGAATAAGCAGCCAAATAATATAAATATATATATAATTGTGCAACAATATAACCTATGATTTAGACATAAAACGAGATCCTTACAAGACAGAGTTATGGAGATGGATGACAACGACGGCTGCAGAACATTATAACCAAGTGTTTACTATAGCTGACCTGTACACTAAAAAATGGTGAAGATGTAAACTTATGTTATATATATTTCACCACAAAAAAAATTTTTTTTGAAGGACAAACCAGATCTTTAATGACAAACTTAGGACATAGTATGCTCTGAATATTAGTTTTGATAACTTCTTTCCTGGAAAATCAACGAGGTAAGGATAAAAGAATAAAAGGATAAGATTCTGAAATCTTATGCTCACACCTCCCCCAAAAAAAACATGTCCTTAAGGAAAGCATAATTTAAAGAAAAATTTCCCTAAGTGTTTCCTTCACTTTCATTCTTACTACCAGAAGAAGAATTGCCTGTCACATAATAAAAGATACTTGGTATTATCATTAATCTGGTACACACAGTGCTTCCTCTTGGTAGATTTTTATCCACTGTGAGATTTTGATACTCAGACAGTGAGTAGTAATTCTATCAAGAACACTTAACTTGGAACCTATGCTATATAGTAAAGCTTATATTGACAATGGATATTTCATGTGGTAAGCAAAAGACGTATTGTGGAGTGAGAGGATTGGAAGTATATCGGCAGAACTACCTAGTCAAAGACCCCAATCTAATCTCTAATGTATAATTCATATAAATTCCTCTTGTATTGCTATACATTGAATATTATGCTTGTCACAGTCTTCCTTGGTTAGCATTGTCACTATTGATTGTTGGGCCTATAATTGTGTATAATTCTTCCTCAGCCACTTTAACTGGCCACACTGATTCCAGAAAGAACTACTTCATTTCTTATTACCTCATGAGAGCACCCTCTGCCCAATGCCTTGGCTAACAGACTGGCCTTTGTTGTCCATGACCACTAATTCCCACTCAGGCACATAACAATTCTGTTGTTGGTTGCTTAGCCCAGTCAAAAACACTGGAAGTGGACATAGATGCCACAACGATGGATGAATGATCTTCTGGTCATTATGTCCTTAAAAGTCTACTGAGTATTTTTAAATTTAAAAAGAAAAAACAATTCTGGGACATTTTCTCCTTCATTCTGTTCATTACTGTTTTTCATCTATCATTGTGTTTTAAATATGACTTAAGATTCTACAGTATATTTAGACAAACTTCTCATTTCTCTGCAGCATTAGGAATTCGTCACGCCTGTATGACAAAGTTGTTTGAGAACAAAAGGGACCTGTGTGACACTTTTTATTTCAAAATACATTTAGAGTTTGAACCAATAAAAAAAGGCTATTAGAATTTTTAATATAGTATAACACATTATCAAAAACACTTGTCACTTTTCTGAGTGCTCTAATCAGGCAATTCATATGTATATTTAAAAAGATGAAAAAAGCCAATTATTATACTAAATATATTTATTTTAATACTGGTGCTCATATGTTACCTTTAAAGGACAGGAGTAAAATTTATGTGTAGAATAGTAAGCAAGCAATTTACCTTCAATACAAATTAAACACATCTTTTTAAGAAAAGGTTGAGTTATATTGGCTAGGGAGGGAGGAACTAACACTAGATTATTAATATGTATTTATTGAGCATTTACTATGTCCAAGATCCTGTAAGGGGGGAAAAGGTCCTTATTTTTATAATCTTTATTGACTGAAATTCTATAAAATGAATTCCTGAAATGACATCACCTAATCCAAAGTTTTTCATCATCAACTAATTCATCTCAGAAAACAGCAAAGTTAAAAAAAAAAATACTATCAGTAAAAATGATATATTTCCATGGTTTGGAAATTTCCAAACCACGATATTCTGCCCCGTCAAAATATATTCACTGGGGAATTTTTTACTTTATACGTTTCTTTTGAACTTAGTCACATTTTTATATCTAGCTGGTTTCATTATTAAATAAAAGAAAAGGTGATTCCCCTCTTGTACTGAAAGAGACCACATACTTGAATGATACTCTAACTTCTAGGTTCTGCTATAGTAACACTGAAATCAGAAACCTGTGGGAGAAATGTCACTTTATCTGAGAGAGTAAAATCAGACTCTAAAAGGAAGTAGCATATTCATCTTCTTTTTTTTAATCAACCCTTTGCCTAAGACACGTAGTTCAAAACACAGAGGACTCTTTAAGTCATACTTCCTTTATGTAGTCAAAACCAAAGCCACTGGGTAATGCTTTCCCCAAAGGAATCTCTAAATAGCAGATGGGGACATTTTCAGATAGATTCATTTGTAGTCAAACCACCACTGCTTGTGTCATATTTCCTGAAAGAATAAAGGTAAAACTTCAACGATTTATTACAGAATGAAAAATTCAGCCTGAACCCTACCTTTGTAAAACAGGTTAATTGGGTTTTAATTTTTATAAATCATAAAGGACTATTTTGAATATTTGGGCCTTTAATTGTCTAGCTCCCAGAGGAAGTATAAATCAGAAAAAAAAAAAAAATGTACTGTGTCAGAATGCAAGCTTCCCTATTTGCATTTTGGCATTTGGAAACTTTGAAGAGTAGTTTTTGTTTTTGTTTTGAAGAAGATGATACACGTATGTACGTGGTTCAAAACCAGAGAATAGAATTTAAAAAGTAATTTTTTTAAAAGTCTTCAAATATGCCTAAAGGTAAAAATGTCATGTTTTAATTGCCAATTCCTCTACCACTCTCAACAAATGACTTCCTAGGATTTAATGAGCTCCCTCCTTTCAACAGAAAATGGACGATTTTCCTTTCAGATTTACTATATTTTCACTCCAGCTTTGTAACCACATGTGCATACACAAACATTTCTTTCTCTCTTGCAGGTGGCACAAACCAGGAAGGGGAAATCTGTGGTTTAAATTCTTTATGCCTCATCCTCTGAGTGCTGAAGGCTGTATGCTGTTAATGCTAATCGTGATAGGGGTTTTTACCTCCAACTGACTCCTACATGTTAGCATTAACAGGGTATGATGCCTGTTACTAGCATTCACATGGAACAAATTCTGCCGTGGGAGGATGACAAAGAAGCATGAGTCACCCTGCTGGATAAACTTAAGACTTCAGGCTTTATCATTTTTCAATTTTGTTCATCATAATCTGGTCACTGGGATGTTCAACCCTAAACTAAGTTTTAAAAGTAAGGTTATTTAAAAAGATTTATCAGTACTATCCTAAATGCAAACATTTTCATTTAAACGTCAAGTCCACATTTGTTTTTTATCATTAACAGAAGATGTATTCATGTCATTTTTAACTGTTCATTGTAGTGGCTTGTTTTGGCTTGTTCACTGTAATATTCATAAACACCTTTGATTCAACTGTTAGAAATGTCAGCTAAACATAAATTTCTATCAAAATTAGAAGGACAACTAACCTCCAGTTATATCATGGATTGTCTGGCAACATTTTTAAAAAGATTTAAAAATTGGTATTTTCCCCTATGTAACAATTTCCTGTTTAGACAACTTCAGTTTAAAACTAATACTTTTATTTGACTCTAAAGGGAAATTGAAAGGCTGTGACCCTGAATTTTTTAAATAGAATATTTTTAACAATTAGCATGGTAAATAACATCTGAAAGCTAATGAGATTTTTTTTTCTGTACAAGATACAAATATTTAATCAAAAAACTTCACATTTGAAGTGAAGAACCAACCTAGGTTCAAGTTCAATAGCTTAGCCACATAATACTGCTGTGTGAGCAGAGAATCCACCTTTCCACTCTAAGCCTGTTTCTTCATCCATAAAATGGGGATAATACTTTACACAGTTGTTGTGAGGCTTAAGTGAGATAGATAATTATGATTTGCAAACTTTTTAAGGTTTAGATTTCTATGCAGTTTTTCTATATAACCATCACTTACAAATATGTAACCAAATGTAATTGTTAGTATATTTAATATATACTTATTTTAACAACTCTTCTCAACATTTTGTCAGGGTTATTCACTGTAACTAAATAAATCTCATGAGTCTTTAGTTGATTCAAAATAATTTTTATGGCTTTTTCTTTTGCAAAGTACAAATTATAATTTAGAAGATATCTGCACAAAAAAAAGACAATGGAAGAAAATTATGAAGATACTAAGGGGAACATTCCCGACTGCTAGGACACAGTATTCTCATGTAAGAGTACTCACTTGGCTTTGCCCCACTTTCTGTTCAAGTTGTATGTGCTGCCAAGATAAATTCCTTCTCCTAACCACTGGAATGAGCTTGTGGCTCCATGGAACTCCCATGCAGGTAGAACAGAACACATTCAAGAGTGTTTCTTCAGGCCAGGCACAGTGGCTCATGCCTGTAATTCCAGCACATTGGGAGGTCAAGGTCAAGGTGGGAACATCACTTGAGGTCAGGAGTTATAGACTTCCCTGGCCAACAAAGTGAAACCCTGTCTCTACTAAAAATACAAAAATTAGCTAGGCGTAGTGGCACAAGCCTGTAATTCCAGCTAATCAGGACACTGAGGCACGAGAATCTCTTGAACCCAAGAGGCAGAGGTTGCAGTGAACCAAGATCACGCCACTGCACTCTAGCCTGGGAGACAGAGTAAGACTCCATCTCAAAAAAAAAAAAAAAAAAAAAAAAATCTTGCTTGCTCCCTAAAGACACCAAGTCTAAGAACATTAGGACTGGAATAAACTATTGCAGTATAACGTTACTGCTGTTACAATAAAAAGCTATGAACATTACAAAGGCACTTACAGAAAAGCTGTGCTGGGAAATGCCTTATTTGAAGAGCACTTGAGTACACTTACATGAAGCCTAGGAAACTTACTTAATCTTCCTCTAAGCCTCAACTTCTTCATCAGTAAAATGATGAATATATTTCATATTTCATAGGATGTAGGCCTAAATGAAATCATGCATGTGCAAAGCACAATGTCTATTATGCATTAAGTGTTAAACACAAACTTTCAGACCTTTACATTTCAGTCATTTAAATCAAGTGATCTACCACAGCAGATCTCCCCAAGAACACTCTAGCTCCAAACTAACTCTAATCCTGTGGTGACAACCCAAAGAACCAGGACTCCTGGGTTTTCTCTGATGTCCAGCCCTCCTAGGCTTCTGACGGCCTCCCTCCTCATCTTAGAGGGATTCCTCCTGACTGGTACATTCAGTCATTACAAAAATTCTTGGAGCATGAGTAAGAGTGAGTCTGTGTTTGGATTGGAGGAAGGGGTAAGTAACAAGGTATATATATGAGTGTGAGACTGTATGTGTATGTGTGTGTGTGTGTGTGTGTGTGTGAGAGAGAGAGAGAGAGAGAGAGAAAGTTACAAACTAAAGATTTTTTTAAATTGCAAAATGTTGAGAATTATCTAGCGTCTGATCCACCTCCCCAGAAATTTACAGAACTCAAGACCAAGCCTTTCATATTCACTGTCATCAGTTAGATAGACCCAGTAGCTAAAAAATTAGGAGAAAAAGGAGAGGAACAAAAAAAAAGTCAAGTCAGTGGACTGAAGAATATATACAGAACATAGAATATTAGAAATTTTCTGAAAACAGATGATAGTGAATACCTCAAAGAAAGTGAGGAAACTTGAAAAGGGAGCTTGAAGAAAAATAATAGGGCCCATAGACAGGACACAAGCACAAAAAGCTGACAGAGCATGTGCTTCTCTAATAACTGGAAAACAGTGGAAGTGGCAGGAAAAACTTGCACATAAGAGTTTAGCTTTCCACTTTGGGTTTCAAATTCTCCAATCGCAGTAAGGCTAAGTGAAATAATGTTCACATAAGGATTTTTTTGTCTGTTACTGTTGTATTTTAACAAATCTAAGTGTTCTAGTATTAGTCTTCATTCATCTAATACATACAAGTACTGGATTTTTTTAGGTGCGTTCCTCAAATGTCATCACAATGGTGTCTTCTCTATATTCAATTACTCTTTTGCCCTTCTCTGTAATGCTCAGGATTTCCCAGTTCACTAGCACTTAACGTAGCATATCCTAATTTATTTTGGGATGTAAATGACTGCAATAGAAGTGATATCCTTGAGGGATGAACCACCATCTTGCATGTTCATATCCCACTCAAATGTTTACTGACTTAATCACACCATTACTTTTCCAAGTCCAAGTCTAAAAACAGAAATGAGTTTAAGTACAGTGAATATTTCATGTTTACTATACCACTAAACTGAAAGAAATGATTTTTGGTAAATAAAAGTTCATCAGACAATTCAATGAATAGTTCTACATATGACTGAAGATCAAAGGATTCTCACATGGTAAGCTTATCAAGATGCATGTTCCCAAGCTCCCAGGCTCCCACTCCCAGAGATTCTAATTCTGTAATGGAGCTGAGGACACTACATTTTTACCAGACTGACCACGTGGTTCAGATTGAGGTGGTTCATAAACCAACTCTGAGGAAACAGTGGTTTTATACATGATGCTACTGTTGATGTGGCTACTAGGAATGGTGTGCAGCAGAACTGCTGCAACATATGGATCTGTTTACACACTGTTCACCATGTAATGAAAGTCTGTAACATGGGCTGAGTGATAAGAGGTGTCTTGTGGTTGACCTCTTTGGAGATAAGCAGCAATGAAATTCCAATGAAGTCGCATCATCCCTCTTCACCAAAACCATCCTAACCACCTCAATAAGATACACCTGACTTCCCCAGCCCTCACCCACCCACCCACTGCCCCAAAACCAGCTGCCCTATGTTCTAAAACTGGCTGAAACCAGCCAATAACCTGATACTAACTAACCCCAATCTATCAGCTGCTGCCTAGTGCAACAGAGAGAGAAAGTCAATGAGAAGGAATCGGGTGCCAGTTCTCGCCTTACAAGAAGTGGATTGACTAATGAAACTGCCACGAATGTCACTGCCATCCCATCTCACCCTCTCACCTGTGCTGCAAGACTTCAACAATCATACCCAGTCTCCGCTTGAGAAAATTCTGTCCCTTCTCAAATGCTGGCAGCTCAGCAATGTGGTCCCTTAACCCATGCCAAGAACTCCAAAAAGGGTTATAGCTAGAACTGATCTTTCTCCTCCATGCTTCCAAAACAGATTACAGCTCCTCCATAAACGTGCTTCGCATTGTGCCCCACGTTTGGTTTGTTACTTGTGTATACACTATCCTCTCTTCTAGACTGAGTTTCTGTAGGAAAGGAGAATCCTTTTTACCTTTTTGGTATTATACCCAGCTCAGGGCCTTGCTTAAATTGAATGGGAAAATGTATCCAAGTACCCACTGATGTTGGAAATTCAAATTGTTCTAATGTTGAGGGCTGTCTGTACCTGGCATATATGGGTTCCAATTTCAGGAACTGTTTTTCAAGTTGACTTGTATGAATTCCTTACAGATACTCAAGCATCAATTTGGCTTTCCCTAAATCCTGCAGATAAGGAAGGCAGTATCCATGTCTGCTTTAAGAAATTCCATTATTAAAAATACATGAAACTTTGTCCTCAGTATTTTTTTAACAGGCAATCCTGACATAATAACAACCAATGTTCAGATGCTTTAAAAATAACACTGCAGTAGTAGCCACTCCTAAAATGAAATATTTCCCCTTTCCTTCAGTATATGTAACCACATATAAAATCTGCTTATTGGATAAATTTATCTTTAAAAGAATATCATCTACATTTATTAAAAGTTAAAATACACATACTCGTTGTCCTGGAATCATGTACAACCATGTATTTACAGAGCCACTAGCATACGTATGGAATCATATACGCACAAGGCTGCTAAGTGAAGTATTAGTATAGTAACAAAAATTAAAAATCAACCAACAATAGGGAATAGATTAAATAATGGTACACCTATGAGTGAAATACTAACTTCTAAAACAAAGTAAAAAGAAAGGGAAAATAAAGAAAACTGGATCAATCCAAAATATGACAGGAAAGGAGAAATACAATAATGCAAAGAAATGATAATCACAGTAAAATGAATACAAATTAAATTTATCTACTAAAAGACAGTAATTCAAAGACTAGATTTAAAAGGAAAATCATAGTTTTATGCTATTTACAAAAGACAGACGTAAAACCTAACAACACAAAAAGGTTGAAAGAAAGAATATACCAGGTAAACACTAACAAAAACCTAGTATAACAACAGAACCTGATTTTTTAAAAAACAGATTAAGAAAACTAGCTTAAAGGAGAAAATCATTATTAATGAGATAGAGAGGATCATTATTTAAATGATAAAATGAAGCAATTTATCAGCATGTTTAAAAATCCCAAACCAGAATACAAAGTGCTAACAAAATCATCTTAAAATAAGCAAATGCTGATTTAGCCATAAGAAGAAATTGTCAAATCCACAATCATTTTAGGAGAATGGGTTTAAGAAAGGAAAAAAAAAGAAAAAGATTTCTATATGGTCCTAAGAGAAAATCTAAAAAATAATGACATGAAAAAGTTGAAAGGAATGGGAAAATATGTACTATTAAAAGGAAACCTGACATAGGAATATCATTACCAGACAAAACAGATTTTAAGACAACTAAGAAGTTGACAAGTCAACCCTACAATAAGCATGAAATTTTGAAAAATAGGTAAGGAGGACTCACCATCCCAAAAATCAAAACTTGTTACAAAGCTATAGTTGTTAAAACAGTGTGACAGTGGTAGACAGGCAAACAAATGGACCGATGAAGCAGACCCAGGCACTTAAGGGAACCTGTTATATGTATGACAGCATGGCATAATCATTAAGAGTAGAGAATAAATAAATAGTCCAGAATACTGCCTATCCTTGTGGAGGAAAGGGTGATTCAAAATTAGGTCCCTTTCTTCACTCTATATGTAAAAAATAAACTTCAAATAAATTATACAATTAAATGTGAAAATCAAGACTTTAAAAGAGTAGGCTGCTTTATAACATCAAGTTAGGAAATGCTTTCTTAAATTTCATAAATATAAATCATACAGGAAAAGATGAATTATTTAGTCTACCTTAAAGATAGCATAAACAAAATTAAAAGGCAAGCCAGATAAGAGAAATATTTGTAGTGACAAGGGTTTAACTTTCTTTTTTTTCTGAGATGGAGTGTCACTTTGTCACCCAGGCTGGAGTGCAGTGGCACTATCTCAGCTCACTGCAACTTCCACCTCTTGGGTTCAAGTGATTCTCATGCCTCAGCCTCCCAAGTATCTGGAATAGCAGGTATGCACCACCACGCCTGGCTAATTTTTCATATTTTTAGTAGGGATGGGGTTTCACCATGTGGGCCAGGCTGGTCTCAAACTCCTGACCTCAGGTGATCCACCCATCTTGGCTTCCCAAAGTGCTGAAATTACAGACGTAAGCCACCGTGCCTGGCCCACAAGGGTTTAATTTTCTACAAATATAAAGAACAGGCCAGGCATGATGGCTTACATCTGTAATCCTAGCACTTTGGGAGGCCAACGAGTGTGGATCACTAGAGGCCAGAAGTTGGAGACCAGCCTGGCCAACATGGTAAAACCCCATCTCTATATATAAAACATAAAAATTAGCTGGATGTGGTGGCACCTGCCTGTAATCCCAGCTACTCGGCTACTCAGGAAGCTGAGGCAGGAGAATCACTTGAACCCAGTAGACAGGGGCTGCAGTGAGCCGAGATCATGCCACTGCACTCCAGCTTAGGCAACAGACTGAGACTTGATCTCAAAAAAAAACAATATATATATATATATATATATTATATATAAATATATATATATTTTATATATATATATAATATATATAATATATATACACATATAAAACTACTATTAATATGATAACCAAAAATCCAATTGTAAAAAAGGGGCAAAGGTTGTAAAATGGTAATTTATAAAAAGAAATGAAGAGATGCTTATTGGTACTATATGCTCAGTATTAAACAAATTAAATGAGATAGGATATGCATATTCAACCAACAAAATATCTTAATGTCTGAAAATAATAAACGTTAATGAGAGTAGAAAACATGGGAACTCTCATGCTGCTGATAGAGAGTAAACTGATACTACTATTGTAGCAGCCGATTAATACTATTTAGTAAAGTTGAAGATGCATGGTCCACTTTGATACAGGCTCTAGAGACATTACCAAATGTGTACACAAGAATAACATGTGCAAGAATACTTTCTGCAATACTGTAATATTTAAACATCAATAATATCCTCAACGGTCATCAATAAGAAAATGAATTAATGATGGGATTAATCATATAATGAAATACCAATATAGCAGGTGAAATGAATGTACTAACTCTTTACAGGTATCAACATGCTATACATGAAAAACAATGCTGAGCAATAAAAGCAAATTGCAAAAGGATATATATGATGAAACCAATTATGTTTCGTTTTAAAACAGAGAATACTATGGATTGTAGGAAAAATATAAAATCAGGAAGGGTAAGGACAGGTACAAATAGGATAGTGGTTCTTCTTGAGAGGAAGGAAATGACATAACAAGACCTTCAATGGATATGCAACTTCTCCTTTATTTAAACACAAAAGGATCTCAAGTAAATAAGGAAAAAGGTTGACAGTGGTTACAATTAAATCGTGGCTATATGTCAACATTCTTGGTTACAAACAACAAGATCTACACTAGCTAAACAAACAGAAAAACATGGCTCACAAGTCTCAGGCCTGGAAGTCAGGACTATGAGGCTCCAAAAAAATGCCCATTTTTATACCAGGGAGCAGCTGCAGGGGAAAAACAGCTAAGCACAGCCTCCATACCTTGCACCATTACATGGGACCTCTGCCACTGCTGCCTTGAAAACCACGTCACTGCTCCTCTCAATAAAATGTAACTCATACTACTCTTGTCTTCAAAGTACTTGCTTCCAGATTTCACACAGCTATGTCTAATTGGTGAGCCCACGCTACCAGTCTGAGCCATGGCTGCAAGGAAGGAGAGGAAATTAAATTTCATTCTTCTTACGGGTAAGGTAAGATCCATAGTGTGGGAAGTTGCCAAAAAGCAGGTGTTCAAACAGTGCTAGTTGCCCAAAAAGCATGAAAATGTTTGTGAAATTATTCTCTGTACTTTTCTGTATGCTCACAAACAAAGGGAATGGAAGAAAAAAAATCAACAAGAGATGGCGACCAAATTCTAAAAGACAAAAAGTGACTAATAAAACACTAGAGAACATCACCACCTAGAAAAAGTGGAGGAAATTCCACCAGAGGCAGCCAACCGGCCCAGCTGGGCCTTAGTTCAGAGACAGTGGAAGTTCAAAGATGATAGAAGACAGTAGAGGGATTAATTAAATCTAAACTAATTAAAAAGAAAGGAATTAATTAAAGGTCTCTATACAAACAGGTTGAACACTACCCCATCTTCAAATACAGAAGGGCCTAAATCCAGGAATTGCCCCACACAAAATATCGGTGGGATCTTTTACAAAGTAAGTGAAAGAACAGCCTGAGGAAAACTAGGATAGTCAATGTAGAAACTGGTAGCCAAGACAAGACCTCTTCATTCTATCATTTTAAAAACCCTCATCCTACCAGCCAGATTCACCTACTCAACCTTAGTGATGCCCATGAGAAGGCAACCCTTGCTTAAATTAACCACAGAGCTGCCACTCAACCTACTTATATCCACATTGTCAACTACAAACTGACAGCCAACAAACATTAGACATTTGAAAAAAGCCTGAAACATGTAAAAGAGAGACTAAGATAAGAAAAAAATCTGTCACCAGAGAAAAGAGATAATTCAGGGACTACAAAGTGAATGAACGAACAAATGTAAGTGCAGTTCATCAAATGTAAGTGCAGAACCCACTTTAGGCATCTTCAGAGAGCTTCATGAAAATACATCACATCCAGAAAACATGAATAGAATTCTATCAAAGTGAAGCAAAAGAGAGCTTTCAGAAATTAAAAAATGCTTGATATAATGTATTAAATGAGTAAAATATAAATGCAGGAAAAATGATGGAGAAAGGGGAAAAAAATAATAATAAGAGGACCAATACAGAAGATGCAAACACAACTGAAAGGTATTATAGAAACAAAGAACCCTCAGAGAAAAGAAAGAACAAATAAAGTAAAAAAGAAAAAAAAAAAAAAACCTAATCCTAGAGAGATGTCAAAAATTGAAAGGACTGCCTACGTACCAAGCAGAGTAACTAACTGAAGACCTAGATACAGGTATAGGATTGTAGAATTTTACACCACCAAGAATAGTAAGATCCTAAAAATGTCCAGAGTGTGTTGAGGGAAGGGGATGCAGAGAACAGGTCATACAAAAAAGAACAAGAATCAGACCGGCATCAGACATTTTATTAGCAAAATCAGATGGAGAAAATAACTGAGCTGCTTTCAAAGTTCTAAGAGAAAACTAATTTTCAATCTAGAATTCTGTATCTAGCTGAACAGTTCATCAAATTTAAGTGCAGAACCCACTTTAGACATGCAATGGCTCACCTCTTAGACATTTTTTCCTAGAAAGGAGCTCAGAAACAAATGCTAGCAAAATGAGAAAGTCAATCAAGACACAGGAAGATACAGACTCTAAAAAAAGTTGACCTCACCCAGAAGAAAAAAAAAAATAGTCTTCAGAGGAAGCCTGTGCACCAAAAGCAGAAAACTTCTAACACTGAAGCAGAAACTTTTTGGCAAAATGTTTTCGTAAGATTGATAACCAAGACTTACTCAAGGTGTGGGGAAACAAGCACTTTTAGACACTGTTATTGGGAGTGACATTTGGCAAAACCTTTGGGAAACCAGCATCTGGTAGCACCTGTGAACAATTTCACTGCCGGAAATCTATTCCTACAAAATTATTTATATGTGTGGCAACGTAGAGTAGAATATAAGAGCATGTTTGAGTGAAACTGCCTTTCTTCCTGCTTTGCCACTTTCGAGCTCTATGCTGTTTCCTCATTTAAAAAATAGGAAACGTCTTCTCAACAGGTCACTGTGAGGATTAAACAAAAGGTTCCACATAGTGAGCTTAGCACAAGGCCAAGCACATAATAAATACATACTATCATTTTTATCTACAAACATTTGCCATTTTTGCACAAGGATGTTTACCGTGCCACTGTTTAGCAAAAAAAAAAAAAAAAAAAAAAAAAAAACAATGCAAGCAAGTAGTATGATCCTATTTATGTTTTTTAGAAATTAAATTTATATTGTAATGTATCTGCCTACACATGAGAAAAAAAAGAGAGAGAAAACATGCCAAAGTGTTTTTTTCACGGAGCAGGAAGGGAGTGACTTGTTTTTGACAGTTTTTATTTTGAGCAACATAAAGGAAAAAGTAAAACTCACTATCAATCTTAGGGAGAAAGAGTTAATCTTTATAAGCACACACAAACATTATATTAAAAACATTTATTTTATTATACATATTTAAATTTTAGAAAGTTATTAGGTAGATGTACTTTCCTCTGTTGGTTTAGTTTGATCTTCAGTTACCTGTAAAAACATGAATAGCTTTACTTTCCTAATAAACACTTACCCTTCACCCACCATTTTATTTATTTATTTATTTATTTATTTATTTATTTATTTTTAAATGTGATTCACTAATTTATTATTTTTTTTTTTTTTAATTTTACTTTAGGTTCTGGGGTACATGTGCAGGTCATGCAGGGCTGTTGCAAAGGCACATACTATATCTGGCGTTTCTCCCCATGCTATCACTCCCCACCCTCCCCACCCCCCAAAAGCCCCCAGTGTGTGATGCTCCTCTCCCTGAGTCCACGTGTTCTCATTGTTCCACACCCGCCTATGAGTGAGAACATGCGGTGTTTGGTTTTCTGTTCTTGTGTCAGTTTGCTGCCGAATGATGGTTTCCAGATTCATCCAAGTCCCTACAAAGAACACGAACTCATCGATTTTTATGGCTGCATAGTATTCCATGGTATATATGTGCCACATTTTCTAAAAATATGGAATGCTTCACGAATTTGCGTGTCATCCTTGCGCAGGGGCCATGCTAATCTTCTCTGTATCGTTCCAATTTTAGCATATGTGCTGCCGAAGCGAGCATCATCCACCATTTTAAATTATCCCACAGCCCTCTTACAATGATCCTCATCTTTCTCCTTCAATAGTTATTATTACAGAAAGTTAGGTAAGAAGATTTAAACAGCAAGTTACCAATATAAATTAGCAGGTAAAGAACAATAATTCCATTCAAAAATGTAAGCTAAGGCATATTATATTTAGGTTTATCAAGTTTGCCATTTTACTTTTCAGCCATAAAACACAATCATTACTAAGGAAAAAAACACCTGAAGTGCTGTAACACAATATTTTAAATCAGTTTATTTTCTTTTGCAGTATAATTCCATTTAGAATAGAGCATATTACAGATTTAGTCTAAACAGATATCTCCATGTCCCTATTTCTATTCTATGTCACTCAGACTCATCAAACAGACGTGGCTAAATCCGAATTCAACACCTCCAAAACCTGTCCTGCCTGCATCATCTATCTTGGTAAAGGGCTCTACCCAGCTAACTAAGGACAGTATTTGAGAATTCACTCTCTTCTTCTTACCTGCATATTCCATCAACAGCCCTATTAATTCAACCTAAGTTAACTCTCACAGTCGTTCTCCCTATCATGGCTGAACTTTAGGAACTGTTCCTCTTCTATCCCCCTAATAAAACCCGTGGCTTAAGAGTTCACAGCTATATTCCATGCTACCCGTAGAATGAGCTTTTAAGCAAGAATAGCTGATCAACAGGTCACTTCCCTACTCAAAATTCTCCAGTCACTCGCTATCACCTCAGTGGGGTAGAAGAAGAAAGTCAGGAATGCAAGTCCACAACAAGGAACACAAGCCCCCTCATATTCTGTTTTTGGACAGACTCATTAGCTACCCTAGACGTGACCTGTGCATTCAAATTCATCTCACATTTATCATGTTCTCTATTCCTTCATGCCTGTAAGCAAGTGGCTTCCTCTGAGATAACCTCTAACCCATTCTCCAATGGATTACCTGCATGGTTCACTTTTATTCATCCTTTAAAAAGAGCTTAAGGGACCCCAATTCCTGCCAACCTTCCTTAACCAACTCCCCAGCTTGGTCTGAGTCCTCTTCTTTATGCCAGAGCCCCACAAGTACATCTGAACTGTCTGCTTATAAGTCTAATTATCCAATCAACATTATTTCCCTGAGGCAGCAAGTACATTTTGTTTATTTTTTATTCCTCCAGACCATAACAGTACCTGGCACACAGTAAACAATCAGTAAGTCTATGTTGAATAAATGAACCACGTATTTAATCCCTTCAGAAAAGCAAAATGCACAGTAGAAAAAAGCAACTAAAGAAGAATAAATGTTTGAAAAATATGTATTGACTAACATTATTAGATATTCTAAATAAGATACTGTCTCTGCCATTTTTCTCCATTTTTCCTTCCTTTAAAGTGTTCAGTTACTATTGCTTCTTTAGTTTCCCAAACTATTTCTTAAATATTCATTTCTTCTTCAGTTTCAAGTTTTTTTTAATTTTAGTTAACTCCAAGTAACCATGCTGAACATTTCTTTTTCAGTTTCTTAATCTAAAATGATCACTGTGACCAACTAAAAAGAGAAATTACTCCATTCAGATACTTTCTTCTCATGAGAAAAAAAAATTATATAATGCTTACATCAGAATATTATAAAGTCCCTAAATAATAATTCCTATCGATATAGTCATTAATAAAGACTACGTTTACATATCATTATGAAAAATAGTCAATAAATATTTCTTGGGGAACCCCCTCATGTGCTAATGTGTTCAGAATTTGGGCTTATACAAACATAACAAATCCTGAAAGGATTAACAAACAGAAGATAAATGTACTGGCAAAGAAAACAATCAAAAAACATACATTGAGGTATACAATCAAGTACAAACTTATTTGAATGGGTAATTATCTGTTAGGAGATTACTCTGAGACTGTTGCATGGAGAAGGTGTGACTCAGGCGAGGTAGTGAGGAATGACTGTGTTGTAAAGAGACAGAAAGAGAATGGGAAATGGTGTCCAGAAAGAAAAACAATCATGAAGAAATATGCAAACCTGAAAGTAAGTTTGATGTGTGATGCTTAATGTGCCTGCAAGCTTGACCAGAGTGTTTGTGGCATTGTGGGAAATTAGGATAAAGGGGAAGGCCTAATAAGGCCAGATTATATGGGATAGCCATGAGATAACTTAAGTAAAAGAGGCACACTTAGCCTATGAAATAGGGAAGAGGGATAGTTGTGGTCAAGAAATACAATCACTCATACTCATGAAGTATAAATGCTAATGACATAGAATAAGCCACAAAAACACAAACATTCAAATCTGATTTTTCAGGACATTTGTACATTTAATGTCAATGACTAAGGAAGCTTTAAAATATATCTGACAAATCTTAATCCTTTAAATATTCATTAAGTTTACAAAAAAAAAATCCTAAGACCTAAATGATACCATTATAACTATTAAGAACTATTACTATTGCATAATATTCTTATTTCTCAAGTTCTACAATATCATTTTCTTGATATTAATAAATAAAATCAAGAGAACTGCCAAATTAAAACTTTAGTCTTACCAAAATACTACTGGAGTTAACAATCAAAATACTGCTTTGACTACTGAAACAACTTACTTTTTCCTTTCTCTTTGCTTCTTTCATTTTTCCCCCCTTTGGTTGTTATCGATTAATTTTGACGAGTTTCTTTATAGAAGGGTACAAATTAGCTGTCAAAAACACTTACCATTTTACGAGATCTTTCCAACAGCTTATCCCATATCGTAAAATGTGCCTTGAAAAGAAAAGATTTGCAATGAACTAAAAAAAAGTAGTAAAATCAAAGTAAAAGGGATAGAGTCTTTACACAGCTTTTAGAACAAACAATTAAAAGATAGGACTAATATAGCTAAGTGGTTATGAAAGTGGATCACAGTAGGGAGAAAAAAGTACTACATAAAACAGCTGCTCTGTTTTTCACTTTCTTCAATCGCTTGAATCCAGGAGGTGGAGGTTGCAGTGAGCATTTAAGAAAAAAAAAGACTTAAGGATTGAATGTGTCCTTATTCCACTTTTGCCTCTCTTAATCATTTCCATCATAGAAAGCATTCCTTCTAGTAGGAAGCAAAAATCTGCCCTACTTTCCCATAGATTGTGGTTCAATCCTTAAATAGCCAATTTCAACCTTCTAGAAGTCATTCTTCAAATCATAAGCAATCACAAGAAGTCAGTCATTAAAAACCAACTGTGACATCTTCACACTGAAATGGCAGAACCAGAGAATTCAGCAAATGACCCTGAAGAATAAGTAAAAGCAACAACACAATAGTCTTTTTTTTTTTTTTTTTTGAAATGGAGTCTCACTCTGTTGCCCAGGCTGGAGTGCAGTGGTGCAATCTCAGCTCACTGCAACCTCTGCCTCCTAGGTTAAAACGATTCTCCTACCTCAGCCTCCCAAAACAATAGTAAAATTTAAACTCAATTTCCTAAGCCCTTAACAATCTCCTGCAGCAGAGGATTATCAGAATGCACTAATGAAAACTGTGCAAAGTATATCATGACCACGTCAATTTTATTAGGTCAACTGAAAGTGATATCAAGGCATATGGGCAGGCCAGTGACTATTTCACACCAAATGAGCTCATAAAATCTATAATAAAAGGTAAAATTACTAAATTTCGACATACGAACCCTTCTAGGAAAAGAGCTACCTGGTCTGTTTAAAGGGAAAACCATGTTTTCCCTTTTCATTCTGACTCAGGCAGAATGAACTGCTGGTACAGAGACCCTAAGCTGTGGCTGGAATATAGTGAGTGAGGAAGGGAGTGGTGTCAGATAAAGTCAGAGAAGCAGGCAGGGACCAGATACTGCAGGGCTTTGTGAGACAGAGTAAAGAGCTGGGATTTGTTCAAGGGAAGCCATTGGAAAGTTTGGGCCAGAGGAAGTATGTAACAGATTGTGTATTAAAAAGATGACTTTGATGCCAGATATAGTATGCACCTAAAGTAAAACAAATAAATTTTAAAAATAAAATAAGATCGCTTTGGCTACTAAGCAGAGAATGCACTGTAGAGGGCAAGAGTGAAAGCAAGGAAGGAGAGTGAAAACAGGAACTCGGATAAGGGAAGCAGCAGTAGATGAGATGCTGTGAGGTACATAGGTTCAGAATACATTTCAGAGTTAAAAGCTGAAAGGACTTGCTGATGGATGGGCAGGGGGCGTGACTACGAGGGGAAAAGAGAATCAAGGATTACCTCAAACAACTAGGGAAACCAGGGGTATCCAATCTTTTGGCTTCCCTGGGCCACAATGGAAGAAGAATTGTCTTGGACCACACATACAATATACTACCCTAATGACAGCTGATGAACTAAAAAAAAAAAAAAATTGCAAAAACATCTCATAATGTTTTAAGAAAGTTTAAGAATTTGTGTCGCATTCAAAGGCGTTCTGGGCCGCATGCAGCCCACGGGCCATAGGTTGGACAAGCTTGAGGTAAAGGGTGATCAGATTTTCTCAAGTGGGGAAGGCTAGGAAAGGAAGCAAGTATGTGGAGAAAAGTCAAAGTCAAATGTAATGGAGAGGTGTACTAAAAATTACAAAATGAGATGAAAGAAGATACAAATAAATAAGAAGATACAGTAAGTTCATAGACTGTAAGTTTCAACATATTAAAGATGTCAATTCTCCCCAAATTGCTATACAGGTCTAATGAACTTCCTATCAAAATCTCAAGAAGACTCAACATAGAAAATATTATCCTAACATTAAACGGAAACTCAAAGAAACTACAATAGCTAAAACGATCTTGATCAAAAACAGTTAACAAGGGAGGAATTACTCTACCTGATTTCACAACCTATTTAGAGCTACAGTAACCAAGACTGTGTGGTACTGGTCTTGATGTAAACATACGTGATCAATGGAACACAACAGAGGACTCAAAAATAGACCTACATAAATATGCCAAGCTAATTTTTAACAAAGATGCAAAAGTAATTCAGTAGAGGAAGAGTGGCCTTTTCAACCAATGGTGCTGGAGCAATTTGACATCTACAGGCAAAAAAATAAAAATAAACTAAACCTAAATCTCAAACTTACAGAAAAATTAACTCAAAATGGACCACAGATTTAAATAAATGTAAAACTCTAAAACTTTTTGGCAGGAAAAAAAAGGAGAAAATCTTTGGGATCTGGAGCTAGTCCGGGTTCTTAAAATTAACCCCAAAAACATAATCCATTAAAATAAAAATATTATCAAATTTTGATAAACTACTTTCCTCAAAATTAAAAACTTCTCTCCAAAAGGCTGCCCAGAGAACGAAAAAACAAGCCACATATACAAATACAAGGTACAGACAGAAAACAAGAGAAATCTGAAAACTACATATGTAACAAAAAACTAACATCTATAACATATAAAGAACTCTTAAAACTCAACTGTTAAAAAGTAAAACAATCTAATTAGAATACTAGCCAAAAGACATAAACAGACATTGCACCAATGAAGATATGTAGATCACAAATAAGTACACAAAAAGATGATCAACACCACTGGTCAATAGAAAAATTCAAATTAAAACTGCAATGAGAAATCACTACAAATGTATCAGAAAGACTAAAACAAAAATAAGTAGTGACAGCATCAAATGCTAGTGAGGATGTGGAAAAACTGATCACTCATACGTTGCTAGTGGGAATGTAAAATGGTATAGACACTCTGGAACACTTTGGCTGTTGCTAAAAAACTAAACATGCACTTATCACATAACCCAGCAATTGCACTCCTGGGTATTTTATCCTAGAGAAATATTCACCTAAACCTGCACACAAGGTCACAGCAGATTAATTTGTGATAGCCAAAAACTGAAAACGACTCAGATGTCCTTTGATGAATGAATGGTTAAACCAACCGTGATACATCCAGACCTAGTAATACTACTTATCAATAAGAATGAATGAACTACTGATACACCTAATGACTTGGATGAATCTCCATAGACTTATACTGAGTGAAAGTGCCAATGCCAAAAAATTACATACTGTTTGATCCCATTCATATAATATTCTTGAAGTGACAAAACTATAGAAAAGGAAAACAGATGTGTAGTTGGCAGGGGTAAGCAGGAAGGGTAATGGAGGGCAACAGAGGGAAGTGGCTGTACATGAGTGTGTCCATAAAAGGCCAATATGATGGATCCCCATAGTGAAGGAATTGTTCTGTATCTTCATTGTATTGATGCCAACAATCACCACATTGTATTGCGGTGATATTGTATTTTAGTACTGCAAGAGGAAACTAAGTAAAAGTACATGGGATCTCTCTTATAACTGCAATTATCTCAACATCAAAAATTTAAATTAAAAGATTAGGAAGGGGGGGAACAATGTTGAAAATGACAGGCTTTGGGTCATGAATAGAGGGAAGAGCATGCCAAATAAGCTTAAAAGGCATTTCAGGAAGGTCTTACCAATATGCACTCCAATACTCCCTCTGCCAATGCACCCTCACCTAAGCTAATTTGGAAAATTAAAAATGCTATTTCAATTTGATTTAATTTTTTTAACTAATATTTCTTTTGTAATTGTGTATTTACGCACTGGTCAACTTTGTTTTTAGTCGCAAATCTGAGTTTACAAAATATTAATGTCCTACAACTTAAGAAAAATTAAAAGTTTATATTCTTCACACTAGTATAAAATCAAGTCCAAAATTATATTTATACCCAAACTGGAAGTCCTGGAACCTTAAGCTTTACTTACTCTTAAGTGAACGGGTAAAGACAGACCCTGGAATCTTCGTATGAGACTTGGCTGGGTAGGTTGAAGGCTGTGAACTGCTGATATTTCATACTGGAAACAAATACTTGTTCTTGGAATAAGAGGGCCCTCGCTCACATCAATGAAGTCACCTATTCTGATTTATTTAAAAATAAACAAAACAAAAAAAAAATAAAAAAAATAAGCAACATCAAATAATTTGTAATAGCTTGAAAAAGATATCTCTTCATTCTCTTTGCTAACACCCTAATCAAGAATGTTATATATGGTTCAGTTCAATTCATAATGACCCCTGAAAATGATCTCAAGTAAAGAGACTAAAACTTTGAAAATTAAATCAAATGAACCATTTTCTTAATTATCATTGATATAATTTAAAGATCTTTAAGAGTCACACAATACATCATGCTATCAAGCAGATCCCAGATCCAATTGCCTAAAACTAATCATCTAAAAACCTTACAATAATCCACGTAACAGAGTTTAGAATTCAGTGTATAGGAATGTGTTCAGAAACAAAAAGCAGTTTCTAGAGGAAAAAAGTTAAATCCAATTCATAAAAACATGAGGTTGAGAAAACAGATCCTGATCACAAAGTCATTTCTACAGAATGCATTGGGACTTGCTCCCCATGGGAGAACATCATCATAAGCAGTGGAACTTTCTCATCCATGTGTCAGAAAGCACAGTCTGACTTAACTTACATGTATCATAAGTAATTACTAGTCAAAATGCAAATTTCTGTATGCATATGAATTATCATGTTCAATTCATAACAATGACTATCTTACCCAATTTCAAAATTCCTAAAAATTACATTTTTTTTAAACAGTGGTTTTCAACTCAAAATTAAATAAAAATAGCAAACAATAAAATGAGGAACAGAAAACAAGTGTTCCTGAAGCTAACTTAGAGTTTTCACTTACCACCATATGAAAACAATGAACAAAGCAACAGAAAACAAGGTAATAAGAACAAAATCAGGTACAAATTCATCTATTTTGGTCATATGCTTTATTCGGATAACAATAAAGTTAAGCCTTACTCTAACACAGCAGCCAGTTTTTAGAGTTTTACTTTACCTGTGTAGCTTGACTATTCTCTCAGGGTTCTGAGATGCCTTCTCTTCGATGAAATCTATTTTGTATCTGAAAAGCAACAAAGAAAAAAAAGATTTTTTAACTCTAAATATGTAAAAAGGTGTTTAAAGATACTTCCTTTTCTCTTCAGCCATACTTTTTGAGAGTGGGTTACACTTGGAACCTCCCTCCTCTCCTCCCTTTAATCTGGCTACAGCCCCATGACTCTGCCAAACTGTTCTCCACAAAATCACAGGTACCTGGTGGGTGTCAACCCAATGGACACTTTTTGGTCCTCATTTTCTTAATACCAATGCTCACCTCCACTTCTCAAAGTGTTCCTTCTTTCCATTTTCAATTTATTTATTGCTCTGTCACCCACCCTGGAACACAGTGGCGCAATTATAGCTCACTGCAGCCTGAAACGTCTGGGCTCAAGTGACCCTCCTGCCTCAGCCACCTGAGAAGCTCAGACTACAGTTGTGACCACCATGCTGGAATAACTCTTTTTTTTTTTTTTTTTTTTTTAGATAGGGTCTTGCTATGTTGACCAGGCTAATCTCAAACTCCTGGCGTCAAACAATCCTCCTGCCTCAGCCTCCCAAAGTGCTGGGATTATAGGGATGAACCACCACACCCAGCTTCTAAGTGCTCTTTCCATGGGTATCACTGGCATTCCTTACTGCTTGTTATTTTACATCTCGGGCCACTGTTGTATTTCTCTATTTGAGAATTCTATCCTACACACTCTTTTCACTCTAAGCATCCTCCCTAGGCCAGTTCCTTGTACTACAATTTAAGTACTTATATTTCCTATATCTCTGCTTCTAATCTACCTACCTCTTCTGAGCACCAAACTGTATATCCAAGACCCATCTGGACATCCTCTAGGATGTTCCACAAGCACCTTACCCTGAAATTTGCAAACTGCACAAATTACCACCTCTTTCCCCAACCAAACTTGTTCTTCCTTCTGAATTTCCTATCTTAGTATCATACCACCAAACACCCAGGTGTCCATGTGAAAAACATGGGATACTTCCTTAATTCCTTTCTCCCACCATATCCCCTACATTCAATTCATTATCAAATTGTCAATTTTACTTCCCAGTGTCTCTCAAATCTACCCAATTCTGTAGGTTTAGCCAAAGGCACAGATGAAACTGCACAGCCCAGGTTCAAACCATGACTTTACCACATACTACTGAGAGCTTTATCTGTTTACCCAGGGTGCTAAACAAGTTAATACATATATGTGTGTACACATGTGTATGCACAATGCGGCAAAGTTGGGGAACACTGGTTTATGCAAAAACATCCACTGACTGCTATAGTGCCCCATGCACTAATAAGGGGACCAATTAATTCCCTTGAATACTTGTCCCTCCTAACCCACCTCCAAGAGATGCTCCTGTCCTCTGTGCGTCAAACCCACAAAAAGGTCTCACCCTTACCCCTGCAGCAGAAAGGCTCAATCATTGACCCACCTTCAATGATCCAACCATTCTGTCCTATCAAACTTCCTCCAAAATTATCCCCTTCCTCCTACCACACACTCAACCAAGTTAAAAAGTCCCAGAAGCCCCTACCAGTCCTTGACAGTTAGATAGAGGAATGGAAAATCTCAATGTATACCGAATGGAAGTCAAAAGTACACTGTCCAGTAAGGTAGCTACGGTGCCCTTAAATGTGATTAGTACTAGTTAAAATGTGCCTTAAGTGTAAAACACATACAAGGTTCTGAAGATTTCAGTGAAATAAAACATAAAACAACATCAATATTTTAATATTAATTAGACTGAAATAACACTGTAGATGTATCATTTAAATAAAAGCATTACAATTAACTTCACCTTTTGACTTTTTTTCAATGTAACTACTAGAAAATTTCAAATTATACAGACATCTCATATTATATTTCTTTTGGGTAGAACATGCCTAGACTTTTGGCACAGAGAGTGATTTGATGTGTTTGGATAGTTCAAAGAATTTTCTTGTAGAATCAATGCTATAAATGGTGGTTTGGTTCTACAATACTATCTGTACTTAGTTAAAACAGTACATTACAACTGATTTCTAAGTCCACTGATTCCAGGACATGCTAAAGATGTTTCAGGAAAAAGTGTTTTATAGGCAAATACATTTGGGAAATTTTCAGTGTCCACTTTGGGAAACCCTTGAGTGCACTGGGTAAAATTAAGCCACCGTTCTTTAAACTCAGCTTAACACAGTACATGGTTTCAGCATGTCAATCAACATCTTATGGAAGAATATTATGAGACAGATTGCTCTGAGAAATGCCAAGCGATACAGTATGTGTCAAAAAGACACTCATAACTAAACCAATATATTATGACAAACTATCCCTATGAGAATTTGTAATTCAACTTCTATATACCTAAAGAAATTCTAATGTGTAACTTTTAACAATTTGTAGGTGCGTATTTTGGCTTCAGACTCTAGTACCTATGTTAGCTTTCTTTTTTTTTACAGCACAGATTTCTCTTTCTAATTAGTTCTAATATTCTATTAGACTAATACTAAAATTTAGTTTATTTTAACTGGTAGTAGAAGGTGAACTGAAAGTTTTCTGAGTGAAAACTGAGAAGGCAGACAGGAATTAAAATGTTGGAAAATCCATCAAATGAATAATTCACATGCAGAAGACTAAGACTGGCTGTGTAAACATTTTCCTTCAGCTGTTAGCCCCCTTCCAAACTGCTTGCATTTTCAATCTCACCAATGCCATTTTAAGTGTGGTGGGGTAGGACAGAAGTGCTGCCAAATACACAAAATTATATAGTGGCTTAAATACGTTATCACTTCACCATAGAAAGAAAAAAAGGAAACATACCGCTATGTTGATATAATGAGAAAGGCTGGTCCAAGAACAGAGAAGTAAAACAAAGTGAGAAAATTATCAAGGGAGGTGGGGAACATTATTCTCGGCGAAATAAATGAGATCAACAATAATAAATAAACTTCCTACTGCAGAAAGAGAGGTCTTGGAGTGGAAAACAATACACTGTCATGTGTGTATCAAATATAAAAATTCTTAAGACCTGAATTTTCTTCATTACATATAATACTGGGAGAGTTAGCCTTAATTTAAAGAAAGCCTACACTTACTTGTTGTGTTGAAATATTTCCAATGCCACTTTTGCGTCAACTTCCAGAGTTTCAAATGGAAGATCTTTGTAAATTAAAACATGAGCGTCCTTTGTGAAGGAACGTAAGTTCTCCTTAAAAATGAAAGTAATAACCTTTAGAAACAATTTACTGAAAAGCATTTCTCCATAAGCCAGTTAAGACAAAACCCTATGCTTAGTACTGCAAATCCAACTAAAATAAAAGACAAAATCAAATTTGTTAGGACAGAAAGTTATTAATTTGCAACAACTGAAGTTTTGGACCATAAACTAAAAAACTTTTTATTTACCTGTATTTAAGGTGTCAGCCTGCATGAATATTATTAAAGATAAACCTATAAAGAAATTTTATCCAAATTATATTATAATTTCATCTAAATTATATAACCTTAAAATGTTTATTAAAGCTATGATGCAGCAAGTAAAAATGCCAATAAACAACAAGACATAAAAATGTATTTACACTATGAATAAAACTAAGTTTATTAAATGCATAGGGAAAAAATTGTTTTCATAATTCAGAAAGTTTCGCTAGAAATGTAACATCATCACTGACCACATACAAAGTATAGCATATGTCCGGTATCAAAAGTTTCTGCTTAATAAAAATGTCAATTTTACACAATTAAAATGATTAATACATATTAACAATGTTTATAAGATTTTTAATACAAATTCTAATTGAGCTTTCATGCTATAAATCATTACTAATACAGAAAAGACCAAGTACTATTACACAAATAATTTTTATAATAAAATTATTTCCATAAAAATCCTATTAGACTTTTTTATATGAAATAACTTCTCTATAAAGAATAATTTACTATATAAAAAAATCCACATTCATGGTTTAATACAACTATTCCTTCAATGTAATTCTCCCCTACTTTCTTTAAGCTGTCTACTCAACCCAACTCCACGCAGTCTGCAATCAGCTGACATATTTCTTTTATAAGGTTTTATCTTTTAAAAAAGAAAAACGCAAAAGCCAGGCACAATGGCATACACCTGCAGCCCCGGCTATTAGAAAGGCTGAGGAAGGATTGCTTGGGCCCAGAAGTTCAAGGCCGGCCTGGGTAACACAATGAGACCACCATCTATTAAAAAAAAAAAAAAGAAAGAAAGAAACAAAGAAAAAGGCAGTTACATTTTTTCATAGATAAGGAAAATTAAAGCTTGACCTCATTAGTTTTTACCTAACTCCCCTCAAGTAAAGAAAATCTTCAATTTGGAGACATAGTTGAAAAGGAAGAAGCTTCACTGACAGGGGCCCAGAGGTCATGAAGAAACAGTTTGAATCCCTTCCCTCCCCCCGCCCATCCTCTTCTCTCTCTCGCTTCCCTCTCCCTTTTTCTCATTCTTTCTTGATTCCCTCTTCTCTCTCTTTCAATATGTAATATGGGCAGGATTATACAAAAAGTAATTTCCAAGGCCAAATGTAAAGCTGGATCTGCCCTGACTCCAAAATCCTGGCTTTTAAGAACCACTACAGTATTTCACTAATTCTTTTTTTTTTTTTTTTTTGAGACGGAGTTTCGCTCTTGTTACCCAGGCTGGAGTGCAATGGCGCGATCTCGGCTCACCGCAACCTCCGCCTCCTGAGTTCAGGCAATTCTCCTGCCTCAGCCTCCTGAGTAGCTGGGATTACAGGCACGTACCATCATGCCCAGCTAATGTTTTGTATTTTTAGTAGAGACGGGGTTTCACCATGTTGACCAGAATGGTCTCGATCTCTTGACCTCGTGATCCACCCGCCTTGGCCTCCCAAAGTGCTGGGATTACAGGCGTGAGCCACCGTGCCCGGCTTCACTAAATCTAAGATGTATCACTAAGGGGGAAAAAAAAAAAAAAAACTACAAATTTTAATTGCAAGATACCATCTACTATAAGGCTCATCTATTTTCAGAGATATTAAGTGTAAAATGAATGTACACAGTGGAATTGATAAAATGATGTGCTATACTGCTTCCCCTTTTCAGATCTCCAGATTCCCATTATGTAGGACATATAGCCTTGTTTAATTAAGAATTAGGTATCTGCCTATTCTCCCCAATCCGAACTGCATCTCCAGGCTTGATCTTTGATAACCATCAGCACCCCTTACCTACTGAGCACCTGATCTATACCGTCCTTGTTAGGCCCTGTTGCTACCCAAGTCCCAAACCAACAAGGACCATCCTCATTACAAAGGCAGAGCATTCACAAAGAGCTCAATTTGTTAATATTTGGTTTGTTGATGCTTGGGTTAGCTTTGTCAAAGTCTGACTGTTTAATTCACCCAGCTCTCAATGTGACCCTTGTATATACAGGGATCTCACAGTATGCAACAAGTTAAAATGGCTTAGGGAAGTGGTTTTCAAATTGTGCTCCAGCAATACAAACAGGTAGGGCTCCAAGCCCCCCCATATCAGTCAAGATAGTTAAGTTTTTATATTTTATATTCTGGGCCTCTTGAAAACCACTACCTTAAAACCACTTAGAAGGCACATCAAGAAAAGGTCAAAGAGGACATAAAGTTTCAAGACAACTGACCATGTTGATGTAAATACTCTCATTCAAATACCTCTGTCTTAAAGATGCTGAAAGAACAACAACACTGATAGATAAACAGACAGACAGACAGGCAGACAGATAGACAGATAGATAGCAGACAGACGGACAGTAGATAGATAATAAATAGGTTTTTTTAAATGTCCTCAATGTGCAGTACCATTCAACAATACTAACATAGGAATCACTCTAACAAAGGCAGAGACTCTAAAATTAATACTTCAGAAGATCTAAAATAAATATTCCAGAAGACCATACTTACTTTTGTTGGTATCCACTCATCAAGTCTGCTATCCAAAACTACGTCATAACAGAAGGCACCAGAAATTACTGTAAATCCAACCAAAATAAAAAACAAAGTCAAACCTGCCCTAACAGAAAGTTACTAATTTGCAACGACTGAATATTTAGACCACAGAGTGATGGATTAGCCCTCTCTCCTAAGACTACAAATTACAAAATCATTGCCATTATTCCAGCTGCTTGCCAGAGCTTTATCAAATTTCCCTTAGCCAAAAGATTGTTAAACCCAAATCACTAATATTGTTTAAACAGTGAAGTTTTATTCAAAAATGCTATTACCATATAGATTTCACATAGTTACCAGACATAAAAATTCCAGAAGGCCAAGGCAGGTGGATTACCTGAAGTCAGGAATTCAAGATCAGCCTGGCCAACACAGTAAAACCCTGTCTCTACTAAAAATACAAAAATTAGCCGGGCATGGTGGCAGGAGCCTGTAATTCCAGTTACTCAGGAGCCTGAGGCAGGAGAATCACTTGAACCTGGAAGGCACAGGTTGCAGTGAGCGGAGATCACGCCACGGCACTCCAGCCTTAGTGACAGAATGAGACTCCATCTCAAAAAAAAAAAAAAAATCCCAAAGAACAAGATATTTAGGAAGTAGATAGGTAACTATCTGCTTCCTATCTACTAGAAGGATAGGAAATGCTAAATGTCTTTTATATCCCCTAAATATCTTATTTTTGGTGTTTTGTTCTTAGAATCATTCCTTGATTTTCTTTCAAATATTTTAGGTACACCTACTTGTTTAAAAAAAAATTATATGGCCAGGCATGGTGGCTCATGCCTGTAATCCCAGCACTTTGGGAGACCAAGGTGGGCGGATCACAAGTTCAGGAGATCAAGACCAGCCTGGACAACCTGGTGAAACCCCGTCTCTACTAAAAATACACAAATTAGCCAGGCATGGTGGCGGGAGTCTGTAATCCCAGCTACTCAGGAGGCTGAGCAGAAGAATCACTTGAACCCGGGAGGTAGAGCTTGCAGTGAGCCGAGACCATGTCACTGCACTCCAGCCTGGGTGACAGAGCGAGACTCCATCTCAAGAAAAAAAAAAATTATACATGTGCTCCTACCATACTCACTATTACAAAATCCTAGTTTTAGCAAAATTACAGAGTCTACACCCTTTCACCTGGCCAACATGGTGTCTCTCTCCAGAGTCATGGTCATGTCTGGTGAAACATTACCACCTAAGCACAGCTCTTTCCAGCAATCTACTTACACTCACATTTTCTCCTCCTCTACACACCCAATTTGGAAATATATGCTTAAAATTGTGAAAAATAAACAAACACTGAGATCATGGAATTCCATGAAATTCAAATTCAAGACAAACACTTCCTAGTAATTCTATGATGTTAATTATTAACCTGCAAAGGCTACTTCATATTTCATCACATTAAGATGGATTTTGTTACCCATGATAAATGAAACATATGTATAATGGTAATTTATATTAGACAAAATTAGAACTAAACCAAAATAGGTACCAAAATATTTAAGGATCATAAAAAAACATATATTTATATGTGTACATTACCAGGAACTTCTGGAGCTCTGACCAAATTGACCATATATTCATCTTTGAATGCCCTCTCTATCACACAGCCCATCATCATAGCACAAGAACGCCAATAAGCCTAGAAAAAATATATACATATATAAAATATATATAAACACACTGAGATTCACTGAAGTTTCAACAATATTAAATTTTAAGTGAACTTCTGACTTAAAAACTATATCCCATATATCTCTGTTCACATAATATAGCAACAGTTACCGTCAGGCCATGACATTACCTCTACCGAGCAAAAATCAAGAAAGAATGAAGCATCAACTTCAGGTTCTTAGCAATGTTTCTGTGCAAGATATCAAACACTATAATAGTTATCAATCAATAGATAGTTTCAGTATCTGAAAGTATTTATTTTTAACCCAGAATAAAGTTAACTTGTTAACAAACTTATGCTAGAGTAAAATAAATGTATTAATTATGTAACTGTTCATACCATTTATAAATATGGAGAAAAAACTCAACTTTTATGAATTATTTGTGACTCTTATCCTATACCTAACATCATAACACATCGTTCAGATCACTCATATTTATAGCAGAGCAGTAGCAACTGGGCTTTCATTTTACCAGTACCTTTTGATCCATGGACATGCCTGGGATGGTATCAAATCAATGACCAGATCAGAGTCACAAGGAGAAACCTGCACTGTACCTGTCCATTGTGTTCCCCTTTTGCTGACACTACTCTGAGCACTTAAATTTCAGAGGCTCTTCTTCACATCTGAGAACTACAAAAGCGGAGTCACCTCACTGTGTGTGGCAAAGACTCCTCTATTATATGTGCTATGCAACCACATTACACTAAAAATAACTACAAACCAAGGCCTTGAAGGCAAGTAGCAAAATGTACTTCTTCATCTATCCTACTTAAATGTCTTTAAATGTCTGTTGAACTCCAGTCAGAATGCCTAAGTTCAAATCTGGGTTCCACTAGTGCCTAAATCAGTAACCTTGGTCAAGCTGTTGAACTTCTCTTTATCTCTGTTTATCAGGAAAATGGTGAGAATAGCATGAACTTTGTGGAGTTAGTATGAAGGTTAGAGTCAATATCTGTAAATCACCCAGAACAGTGCCTGACACATAATACATACATACTCATTGTTGGCTATTACTGTCATTGCTATCATTTTCTTGTTCAACTATAACCGTAAAAAAACAACTTTTAAGTCCTAAAAAAAAACTAGAGGGTGAGTAAACAGAAAGAATTAAAAAGTTATTGAAATCATCTAGATAAGATGGTTAAAGACTGAATTCAAGTAATAGCAGTGGAAATGGAATCACCCACAATATACAAGGTGATTAATGAATGTCAGTTAAACAAAGATATGAATATAAAAGACATATCATACCAAAAATACAGAGAAATGGATGCCACTGGTATTTTCTCAACTACAAAAGTACCTAATCTAACAAGTAAAACATTGACTAAGGAATACAATACAACATTTGAACTTGGCTATATTTTTACACGTTACACCCCATAGAAAACAGGTCTTAATAAAGAGGGAAACAGAAAAAGAATTTAGAGACAGAAATACCTTATTCACTTCTCCTGGATCACGATCTTTGAAAGTAAGAAACTGAATTTCACAGGACTTTGTTAAAGGCTTATACATGCCCCACGGCTGTCCATCCACTAGAGCCAGAATGGACTTCCTGCAGTACCACTCGCTTAGGTCTAGAAATTTAAAACAGACTGATCATCTAACAAAATACAGAGAGAAAGTTACATGTTTAAGTGCTACATTTAGAAATAAAATAATGGGAAGGCAAGATTCTGCAGACTGTCCTTTTTAGAGAAACAAAGCATATTACATCTATTACCAATAAAAAAAAAAATAATGCCCTACAAAAATTAGCCAGGTGTGGGGGCACAAGCCTGTAATTTCAGCTACTTGGGAGGCTGAGACAGGAGAAGCACTTGAACCCAGGGGGCAGAGGTTGCAGTGAGCCGAGATCACGCCACTACACTCTAGCCTAGGTGACAGACCAAGACTCCATCTTAAAAATAAATAAATTAATTAATTAAATAATACCCAATATACTCAAAAGTCTTGTTGGTTATTAACAAAATTACCCAAACCATTTACAAAATTCATTAAGGCTACGTCTAGTTTGAAATTAATTTGTCAATTATTAATGAAACAATTTTCCCAGAATTACACTTGAATATTCAGAGAGCAGCATCATGGATATATTTGGATAGATACACACACAACTCAAAAGAAAAGGGAAATATATTAACTCAAACCTGCAAAAATCAGTTCTAGATTGGTTTTGGGTCTTGCTCCCAGACCATCTTTTATTTCCATGATATAGACTCTTGACGTTAAATGCCGTAGTTACCATTTTTTAATACTTAATATGAATTCCCCTATAAGCCAATCAGTTTCATCATCCCAGAATGCAATATCAACTGTGATTAGAGGTTCTGAAATTACACAGCTACTCATAAAAGTAGTCAAACTACAGGTTCTAAATTATCAACCACTACCTAAGTCCTATAAAGACAGGGATCACGTCTATTTTTGCTCACTCATCAGTATATCCAGAGTGTAGCACCAGGTCTGGAATACAGCTGGTATTCAATAAAAGTTTACTGAATGACTGCAAGAATGAATGACAAGAAAGTCTCAGGGCAGGAGTCATGCTGAGGATGCTTCAGAAGCTTCATCACTACATGTGATGTGTATAAAGCTCCTTAAGGGCCTGAGTTTTGTCTCAACCTACTCTGTAATCCTAATGCCTATCATATGGCAGAGGTTCCAGAAACACTTGAAAGCCAAATGAGTAAATATGTATACGTAGTAATTCAAGTGCCAGTGTGAAGGAAGACTGAGTGTACTCTCTTTAGGCCAGTTTAAGCTGATCACTAAAGCTGTTAACTAAAGTTTTTAATTACTTAAATGGAATTATTACTGAGTTTTCCAAAAGTTTAAACCCGGCAGCTACTCATGCCTGTATCTATTTGGGGGCTTCTTTAATTTCAATATTACCAGTTCTATCAAAGGTACTATCAAAACGTTTTGATCAAAAATAAAATACAGAGGTCTTTATTCCCTTCATTTCCACACCAAATCACACATGGGGCACAGCTGTCTCTTTAAAATATAAATATTTTTACCCCCATCACACGGATTCCATTCACATTTCCACTCACACATTTACACATGTACATATAAATGTAAACAAAATTACACACAGAGAGAGACAAATGGAAAGCAGATGACAGATATAAATTAGGCTATGCGACAAAGAGGAGAGAAAGAAAAACAGCAAAAAAAGCTGGTCACCTGGGGACATGGCAATCCTTTATACCAAAATCCCTTCTTGAGACCTGCATGGTGACTGCTCCTACCACATCACAGCCCTAGCTAAAAGGAGCAAGCAAATCTCAGCTACTTGAGAGGCTGAAGCAGGAGGATGGCTTGAGGTCAGAAGTTCAAGACCAGCCTGGGCACCATAGCCACCCTGTCTCTCAAAAAATAAAAATAAATTGGCCAGGTGTGGTGGTGGGCGCCTACAGTCCCAGCTACTTGGTAAGTTGAGGCTAGGAGTCTCAGTGAACTATGATAGTACCACTACACTCCACCCTTGGCAACAGAGACAGAACCCCATCTCTAAAATTAAATTAAAGGAGAAAGCACACTAGTAACAATGCACTCAGGTCTGGCCACCTTTTGCCAGAAAATAACCTAGTACCCTAAACAAAGCCAGAGGCAAACATGCCACAGGCAGGACAATCTGTGCACTACAGTGCCAACCTTGGAATACTCGTAGTACCCTCCGGAGCTAAAGGGACAGTGAACAGACAGTAAGGTGCCAGATAAAGAACCTCTGGGAAGTCCAAGGAGTAATTACAACATCCTGTCTCCTGTACCAGTACTTCCACACAGCTCAAGTAAAAGGGTCCAAACTGTAGCCTGATTCTGTTACTTACGCATGGCACAATTGTAGGGAGTTGAAATGTTTTTATTCATCATGAAGATAGTACCAGGGTCAGTTTTCCCAACATGTTTAACTTCTATCTTCTCAGTTCGGGGAGTTAATGATAACTGCCTGGCTTTCTCTTTATTAAAGAGATCATTCCGCATTTCTGTCAATTCTGTCGGTGACAGCTGAGAAGCTGGCGATGTTGCTATAAATCCTGTGGAAAAGTTACAATAAACATGAAGACTGAAAAAATGATCAACATACTGCCAAAACTGTGCTTAGAGGTAAACTTAAGCCGATTTGTAATATTAGCAAGCACCAGCAGAAGAAACAGAGCTGGCCTAGATAAGTGCCTCTACTTTTAAATTTGGCTCTTTCACATCAGATCGCTATTTCTCACCAATTTCCTCTGTCGTGTTTCCAATCAGTGCTTTACAGTAAGGGGCAAAAAGTAACCAGGAAACAGAGTCAAAACTGGACTAGAGTCATTGGGAAGGTGAGCAAAGTGGTCGGTTTGAAAGGGTCTTGAAGAAAGACAAGAAAAGTTCAGGAGACTAAAGGTCCCACAGCAAAACTATCAATATCCCGAATGAGAAAAGCTGAGTTTACTTTCCAAAGGCCAAAATCAGGGAACCTGCCAAGGCAAGTACGAGTATTCCTTGGGAGGACATGGGCAGACGTGCACGGAGCGTGCGCTGCTTCCCAGAGGCGGCCCAAGCTCCTCTCGCGGCCAGGCCGCGACCCCTGCCCTCGTTCCTGCCCTCCTCTGGCCTCTCGCTCCCAGGCTGTGCAAGGGCGACCGCCGCCGCGGGACTGAGAAACCCTCCTCCTTCCCCTGCCCAGGGAGACCTCCCAGGACCCGCCTCAGGCCCAATTTGGACAGACACAACTTTCTAGGCCTCGCTCCCCGTCCCCACGGCCTCTGAAACTCACTCCGGCTGACCCCGCCACCGGGTGCGACCCGCAAAAGCCGCAGCGCCGGGACCCCCATAGCCAACGCCTCCATAGCAGTGGTGAGAACCGTCGCGCGCAGGTCCTTCGCCGCCGTCCTCCCCCGGAAACCGAGCGTGCACTAGGAGTTCCGCAGGACAGTTCTGTTCCGGACCCAGAGCTCAGACTGCGCGCCGCCACCGGGGGGCGTCAGGCCTCGCTGGGGATTCAGTGGCTGAAACCCCGAAACTCCGAGCCGGGACGCCTACCTGTGCGCGATACCTGGGCGCGGTGAGCGACCCAGAGGTACAGGGCCCCCAGGGCGGCCGGCCTGCCTACCACCCACCGCTTGGGCTCTGCAGGGAAACAGAGTCCCACAGGCGCCGTCGCCCTCTGCCCTCCACGGGTTCGATCCCGGCCACTCGGGTGAAGCCCTTGCTTCCCTAAAAGAATACATGGATGTCTAGGGGGAGAAATGGGGAAAGGCGTCTTCTATTTCGTCAGCGAGGACAACTTCTAGCGCATGGCTTAACTTTCAGTTGCGCCAGGTAGGTTCTTATTTCGGCTGGAGTGGGTCTGCGCCCTGGTTCTCCACTTAGCCATGGTAATAGAGGCCTGGAAACATGTTCCGTTGACTTTGGAGGGGACGTTGTAATCCGTAAGAACTCTTTACAAATTATCCAGTTTAGTTTACATAGTACAGGGTGTACAGGAGAAGGCATCCCAGGGCAGAATTTGTCTCTAGTCCACTGATGTATCCCAAGAGTCCAGAACAGAGCACAGCGTACAGTCAGCACTCAACAGATGTTTCTTGAATGAATGAATGAGTGCCCTTGCAGGCAAACCTCAGCATATTGTCTAATTCCTCTGTCGTACCAGGACGTGACTGTTATTTGAAGTAAGCACTCCGTAGGTACACGATGAAAATATTTTCATTCACAGTTCAATTCTGTGGCTTTACTTAAGGGTGTAGGTTTACGAATTCAGCCTTCCCCCCCACTCTGTCCTTTGCCTTGCAATTGGGATGCCATGCCACCAGATGGAAGTGCCGCCTAAGGTACAAATATGACCCTGCGCCACGATAGACTGACGATCTCCTTGGCCCAAATTTTACACTCACAACCACTGCGCCAGGAAAGTGTATCTTCACTTTTTAAAATGGGAAATGTAAGTGACGGAGCTTGAATTTACACCCAGTCTACATTTTACCAGGCTACAATTCATTTAACATCCTAATTCAAACCACGACATGTACATATACATATAGTGTTAGGGAGAGGGTGTATCTTTTGCTTTCTCGAATTTGGATAGGATTCCCATGAAAGCTGTCTGTTTCATCGGCCTTTTAAAGCCTGTACCCATTTAACCCCATCCAGAAACACTCTACTATCCATTTAACCCCATCTAGAAACACTCTAGTGCCCTTAGAACATCTTAGAGCCACTTTTTTTTTCTTTTTTTCTTTTTTTTTGAGGGGGGTGGTGGACTCTTGCTCTGTCTCCCAGTCTGGACTGCAGTGGTGCCATGCTGGCTCACTGCAACCTCTGTCTCCCAGATTCAAGCGATTCTCCTGCCTCAGCCTCCCAAATAGCTGGGACTACAGGTGCCCATCAATACACCCAGCTAATTTTTGTATTTTTAGTAGAGACAGGGTTTCACCACATTGGTCAGGCTGGTCTAGAACTCCTGACCTGGTGATAGGCCTGCCTCCGCCTCCCAAAGTGCTGGGATTACAGGCGTAAGCCACCATGCCCAGCCCTAGAGCCACATTTAAGCAAAGCCTCTGAATGTAAACTTAAGCAAGTCTGATCATAAATGCATCGGAGGCAGGTAGTTGGAGTTCACCAGAAATTAACCTAGTTGAAAGGTTGTCACTAGTGATAATGACCAAAAAATACTATGTGCCAATCATAGGGCTGTGTTTATTAATTTTCACAACCTTCCTGAGCAATTGGCATAATAATCTTTATTTTCCAGGAAAAGAAATTCAAGTTTGAAGAACTTGAGAGACATACCCAAGGTTAATCTTTGGCTAAGAATTCCCCCAAAATATTTTCTTACTCTGAATCCCCTCTCTTGCCTTCTTGTCAACCGGCTTCCCAAATCTTAGTCTCACTCTGTCAATGTCTCTGCCAAATAAAAAGAATTAAGTCTGTAACAGCAAATATCTAAGATAAGCCTGGATCATTACTGTGCCAGAAAGCCTATAACTAACTATAAAATACAGACAAACAGAAACATGTTTAAAAGGACACAGGACCAAGCTTGAAGGGGCTCCTGTTGCCCAAATTTGGGAGAGTTTGCATAACTAAAAGAATAATGCTGAACTATTATAACATGTATACTAAAATTTGTGAATCCGTAATGATACTCAAGAATAAATGAGTATGGAGAGAGTGGAGGGAGTTTTCTGTACGAAAGAATACCAGATAATAAAAGTAGTAGAAAAAATAGAATGAGGAAAATCACCATTCTGGGTCTACCAATGTAATCAATCATTGGTACAGGAAGGGATCATCAATAGATGCTAAAACCAAGAGAAAGTTTGTTGGGGATCAATATATTCACATAGTCTCTAAGTATCACCTCACAAATTACTGACAAAATACAAATGGATAAATGAAACTTTTCAATGGAGAAATCTGATGGATATCATCTTCAAGTGGTTAAACTTATCATCACCCAAAATGAGACAATCTGACATGATTTGTGCTTCTTCATTGTGACATAAACAATACAATCTATAGTATTCCTAACATAAATATTTAACCTGCATCTACAGAAGTATGAGGAAATCAAGTATATCCAAAAAGTGATATCTTCTACAAAACAACTGACCTAAACTCTTCAAAAATGTAAGTTTTATGGAAGATGAACCCAAAAAAGTCAAGAAACTGTTCTAAATTAAAGGGGACTAAAGAGATACACATTTATTAGCAGTGCATGATCCTCACTTGGATTTTGGATCAGGAAAAAAAATTACAAAGAATGACATTGTAACAGAGAAACTTGAACATGAACTGTACATTACATATTATATCCATGTTATATTTCTTGGATATGACAATAGTGTCATGGTCATATATGAAATAAACCTTGTTTAAGGATATATATATCTTGATATATATAATAAAATATTTAGGAACCAAATATCACTTTGCCTATAACTAACTCTCAAATGTTTCAGCAAAAATAGGGAGCTCTATATTGAGGTAGGGAACAAGACAAATTTAGCAAACGTGGCAAAATTAGAGAATCTAAGTGAGAGTGTCAGTTGAACTACTCCTTCAACTTTATTCTGAAATTTTTCAACATTAAAACTTTGGAGAATAATCTCAGTGGTTTTCAGCCACGAAAGTTTATTTTGCTTATGTTGGCTGTCAGTAATGGCAGCTACCAGCCAGCTATGGCTCTGCAACGTTATTCCAGAATCCAGGCTGTAGAAGCAGCCTCTCCTTGGTCTTGTGCTTCTTGTGGCAGAGGGAAAAGAATGCAGTAACCACCTTGTGTACTGGCTTTTAAGAGCTTCTGTTCAGACTCACCTATGTCTCAGCCACATACTCCCCAGACCCCAGCAAGTCCCATGGCCAAGACCAATGTCAATCAGGTAGGAGGTTTATGCCTCCTGCAGGGAGCCAGTAGATAAGGTTATATACTTCACATCCAAAGAGGAATGCAAATCGCTGGAATCAAGATTCCATAACAAGGCCAGGTTTCATGGCTCACTCCTATAATCCCAGCACTGTGGAGCGGCCGAAGTGAGCAGATCCCTTGAGCTCAGGAGATGGAGACCAGTCTGGAAAACATGGCAAAACCCTGTCTGTACAAAAAAAATACACACAAAAAGAAATAAGCTGGGTGTGGTGGTAGTCAGGAGGGTGTGGTGGTACTCAGGAGGTTGAGGTGGGAGAATCACCTGAGCCCAGGAAGTCGAGGCTGCAGTAAGCCATGATTGCACCACTGCACTCCAGCCTGGATGACAGAGTGAGTGAGACCCTGTTTCAAAAGAAAAAAAAATCCAATAACACAGTAATTTTCCTCAGATCACAAAGATGATCTGGGGCTCAAACTCAGATCTGGCTTTCTCCAAACCCTATATTTTCTTTGTTCTCAAATTCATATGCTTTTAAATCCAAATACTTGATTTTACATTTCCAAATCATTATACATTTACTTGGTGGGAAGTTCTGTCTTCTAATTTAAGATGCTTAATGAAAAGTTTCACTCAGTTCTTTTCTTGATTCACAAGTTCTTATCTTTCTTTCTTTTTTTT